CGCACCCACACACACACACACTGCCCCCTCTAAACCTTCATTTATTCATGTTGTCTTGAAGAAGAGGGCAATCCCGACTCTCATTTGCAGTGCTAATGTCCAATTCCACTGGCTTTCACCCTGCTGATTTATCCTGCACGGCCGGGCTCTGCATTTGGAGTGGGGAGGCCGATGAGGCTCCCTCACACCGTTTAGCGGCCCTTCAAAATGGGAGCTCTGGCGTGGCAGTCTTATTTTTCTCTCCCGTTTCGCTTTGTCACCGGCCCCTCCATTCCCTGCCACTCACCTCTGATGGCTTTAGACAGGCCTGATCAGTGTATGTCATTGACCTGTATGGCGTTCTTGAGTGTGTGTGTGTGTGTGTGTGTGTGTGTGTGTGTGTGTGTTTCAGCAGAGAGAAGGCTGTAAATAAAATGACATTATTATTTCCACTGTCCTATCATGTAGAAAAGCCAATTATGGTAATGCTTAGTATGTCAGGCAATCTCTGTCTCTCTCTGCTCTCCCCCGTCCTCTTCATTCTTGCTCTTTTTTCCCCTCTGTTGTGGCTGTGGTTTCATAGGACCTGACACTCTCTTTGGACTACTCTGTGGAGGACGCATACTGAGGCAAACTGTCACACACCAACAGTTTCCTCTCAGACCAGAGACAACTACTGACTAACAAAGCTTTTCATACAATTCTGCATAGTCACCATAAGAAAAATCCAAATTGTTAGAAAATTAAGTGAGTTAGTTAAACTGTAAACTCTTTAGATCAAACTAGATTTCTTTTGTGAGTGAAAACCTGCCTAAATATCTTCCACAGAACTTTGTCTCTTTCATTTTATTGTTCAAATTAAGGAGAGCGACATTTTAGGGTTAAATTCACGGGGACGAAGTACAAAGGTTTATAAATGAGCCTGGATGCCATGTTCTAGCCATAAGTTAACCCACAGCTTGCTTGACCAGACATGTAAAAGCCTACCCAACAGCCCCCATGCCCCACCTTACCCTACCCCACATGGAATAGTCCACCATATGACACGGCAGCTCTGGGGCTTCAAAATAGCTTGCATCATACAATTCCACCTTTTCAGTTTCCACAACTATTCTGGTTGGAGAAACCAAAGCAGCCAGTACAGACTTTTTGGCAAACTGGAAACTACACAACATTTTCAATATTGATATTTCAGTTTGTGGCAACTATTCTGGGTTCTAATATAAAGGTTGCAAAATTCTCAGGTGTTTCGTATCAAACACAGCAGTTTGTTACATTTACATGAAATGAAACTTTTGGCTGCCCTGAAGAGCTTCATACATGTTCCAAGCAAATCATAATTACATCATAATTACTTGAACTCATATTATGCTAACAGCCTTTTTA